TGCCATAATTTTACTGATCTGAATTTACAAAGCTAATTTGAAGCCTTGTTATTTCCTCTGGGTTCATTACTTTGGGTTAATAGAAACAGCAGTTACATCCCTTGTGACTTCTTTCTTTCTGACAACAAATGAGTGATTTTTTTGCACACCAAGTTCTCCCAACACCAACTGGGCATCTGATAATTCAGTTCAGTTCTGACACCAACTCCCTGCAAGACTGACCTCACTTTGAACTCCAGTCACAAGCCCCAAAGCCACCTGTACTTCTGGCTGACCAGCTATAAATTTGAGTGTTCCATTACTTGCTCTTCAGGTTCAATAACTCATTAGAATGGCTCACGGGACGCAAGCAAACATTTTATTTACCTTTACCAGTTTACTGTAAAGCATACAACTCAGGAAAGGCCAAAAGGAAGAGATGCATAGCTAAGGTATGAGGGTGGGGGGAAGCCAGTACTGGGGCTTCTTGCCCTCTGGGTAAGCCAGCTCAAAGCTTTCTAGGAGTCCCACCTTGAGTCACCTCATTAGGATAAATATAAGTGTGATCAAAAGGCGCTCCCTGTGAAAAACAAGACTAATCACTCAGGAAATTCCAAGGTTTTTAGGAGGTCTGCTAAGGACAAAGACCAAGTAAACTTTTATTATACCATACCCAGGGTTGGCTTTCTAGTCTAAATTGCTCTGCTCCTCTGTGTGGTCAACTCTGCCTCAAATCTGCATGTTCGTTATTGTTGTTTTCATTCACTAATATCTTAACTCAGTGTTGGAACAGTTAAATAAAACACTTAAACAATCACTAGACCTTCAAAAAAATCACTAAACTTATGAAATAATGTGGAGAGTAAGATTTAAAGAAATTTAGCACCTACCTTGTTAATTTCTCTTTGTGATTTAAAAGTTCCTTTTATATAATGGTCAGAATTTAAGGTCTTCTTTATGTTTTAGGTTAAAATACGTCATTGACCACTGCGTTTTACTCATCCTGTGCTTGTTTTCCTTGTACTTTTGAACAAATCTCTGAACATCTAGGGTCATCTTTTCAATTGCCAATAGTTAACTATGCTAAAAAACACGAAAAAATCAAAACAAAACACAAGAAACAAGAAACAAAAACAAAAACCCAGACCACATGCACAAGATATTCTCACTAATGTGAACCTCCATGACTGTTCTTTTCCAATGAGAAGATTTTTCTCTACCTAACCTCCTCATTTGTTCTTAGCTCTTCTGCCCTTTGGAGTTAATACTTAAGTTTATCTCTATTGTGAGTCAAAATGTCAAAAGGCAACCCCATAAATACAAGATTAGATAGTTCTGTGCCCTCAGAGGCTTAGTATAAGAAAAACCCAGAATAGATCCAAGTCTAACATTTCAACACTTTTAAATACATTTGTATTTAAAAGATCAAAACACTAAGTCATGCGTCTATGATAAAATGCCTCTGACGATAATGAATAATTTGTAGATTAACTTTAAGGAAAAAGTTGATCATCATTACATTTAACTTAATTGCAAATCAAGCAATAATTATAACGTCTTTATTGTTTTAAGGTGAGGATTAAATCTGATCAAGTCATATTAATATCATATGAATACATGATACATATCGTATATGAACATAACTACAGGTATGTCTTTGTGGAGATTTCTAAGAGACATCCAAAATAAGAGATTCAAAAAAATCCCACAAAACTCTATTTCTCTAAGTATCTCAAATTTGCTCCTCTTCTCTGTCTCAGTAAAAAACAACTCCATTTTTTTTCAGTTGCTTAATCTAAAAGAACTTTAGAGGCATCCTTTAACTCTCTTCCCTCTCTCTCTTTCTCTCTTTCTACCTCTCTCTCTGTCCCCCTTTCTCACTCTCCCCACTTTCTTTCCTCCTCCTGGTTAAATTACACCCAAAATCCAATCTTTTCTTTCCACATCGCCATTACCGCTCTGTCCAAACCACTAGCATCCCTGCCTAGATTACTGTGATTCTTTTCCAAATAGGTCCATGCCTTTTCCCTTACCTCCCTTTACACAGCAACCAGAGGGATCTTTCCAAAATATGTCACATCATATCACTCCTTTGTTCAAAACCTTCATCTCCTCAGAATAAAAGCCAAGATTTTTTTCTTTAATCAAAGTATAATTGATACACAATGTTATATTGGTTTCAGGCATACAACATAGTGATTCAACAACTCTATACATTATGTTATGCTCACTACAAAAAAATAAAAAAAAACCAAGATTTTAAAAAAAATATTTTTTATTTATTTCTAGGAGAGAGAGAGAGACAGCGTGAGCAGGGGAGGGTCAGAGAGAGAGGGAGATACAGACTCTGAAATAGGCTCCAGGCTCTGAGCTGGCAGTCAGCACAGAGCCCGACGCGGGGCCGAACCCATGAACCGCGAGATCATGACCTAAGTGAAAGTCGGACGCTTAACCGACTAAGCCACCCAGGCGCCCCGAAAAAAAACAAGATTTTTTTAAATACCCTTAAGCCTTCCTTGAGTTGACTCCCTTTTACTTCTAGTATTATGAGCTACAGCCTCACTTCTAGCTCCCTCTACTCCAGTCACCCCTTCTTCCTTGCTGTTCGTTGGACATACCAGGCAAGCTCAGCCTTAGTGTCTTGGCACTGACTTCGTTGACAGGGAATACTGTTTCCCCAGTTTGCTACATGGGTCACTCCTATACTTGCTGCAAGGCTTGCTCAAATGTCACCTTCTCAATGAGCCCTGCCTTTGATCACTTATATAAAATTGCAATTCCTACCTCCCCAAACCAACACCTATAGTCCTAATCCCATTTAACTTGCTTTGTATTTTTTCTATGACCCCTATACCTGTGAAAATGCTAACTAGACAAAGAACTACTGCACATAGGAAAGGAAAAAGACACCCATAGGGAAAGTCAGTGAAGAACCAGGACTAGCAATTATAGACTAGAACAAATAAATAATAACCATATTGAAATATGATCAACATCATTGGTAATTAGAAAAATACAAATAAGAACAGCAATGGAATACCCATTTTGGCAAAGATATTAATACATCTAGAGCTAAGTCATTGTAGGAAAATAAATCTTACACATAGATGATAGAAAAGAAAATTAGTATAACCAACTTGGAAAGTAACCTGGAAGCATTATTAAAAGTTGAACATCCATTAAAAAAAAAAAAAAAAAAGTTGAACATTCGTACCCCTTGACCTAACAATCTGACTTTGGTAAATCTATTCTATATAAAGTATCAGAGTGTAAAAATATACTTAGATAAATATTTCTATTACAGATTGATTCTGGTGAAATTAAAAAGAAAAATGATTAGAAATAGCTTGATATTCCATTACAGGGAAATAATTAAATAAATTTGGTCCATTCATAATTTTCAAATAATATTTGGCCATTAAAAATTACTGGTTAGAGCCAAATGTATGAACCTAAAAAAAATGTTGAGAGTAATACAGAATAACCAAATAATTAACAGAGTACTGTAATAATATGACTATATTCTTATTTATTTTTTATATATTTTTATTTTAAAAAAAGAAAGACAAGAAATACGGTATATATTATATATATGCTTATATTTGTTATAAGCATAGGGAAAAATATGGAATACTTATGTTAATACTAATTATCACAGTAAGGTAGAACTCAGGGAAGAATACGAATATTTTTAACTTCTGCTTTTTATCTTGTCTAATGTTTGCTTATTAAAATAGTTGTACTGTTATAGTGTAAAAATTCCAGTAAATAAAAATAGTTTATTAATTTAAACTATATAGCCTAATACTTGATAAGTATACAAGATTACAAGAGGTTTATGTATCATATATATCATACCAGAGGACCTAGATTTTTTAAAGATTTTTAAAACTTACTTTGGAGAGAGAAAGCGCAGCAGGGGAGGGGCAGAGAGAAAGGGACAGAGGATCTGAAGCAGGTTCCAGGCTCTGCACTGACAGCAGCAAGCCCGACGTGGAGTTTGAAATCACAAACCATAAGATCATGACCTGAGCCAAAGTTGGACACTCAACCAACTGAGCCACCAGGCACCCCCAGAGTATCTAGATTTTTATCTCCATTCTCAAAAAGAAGAAAGTGACATTTTAAAATCAATTATGTGATTTCAATATTGGGTTGATCTAAGGTTGTTTCTTTAACTTACATATGAGGAAAATGAGAGCCACGCGCACATAGCAGTTTCTTGGTATATGGCCATTGACTAAATTTATAAAGGCATTAATTTTTAGGCAAAAAATGAGCCAAGTACTTGCCCAAGTCACAGGTAGGCAGGGACAAAGGCACATCTAGAATCCAGATCTCCCGATTCCAGGGCCAGGGCTCTTTCCAAGACCAGATAGGCTTGGAAAACCAACAGGGAGAAAGATACTTGTGTTGCCTGAAACAGTGATAGGCTTATCTAGAAAACTTCTAAATATTCCAGCTCTAAATTTGCATATGGTAAAAATCATAGTGAAGAACCATTAATTATGTTTTCCTCTTGGAAAACTTTTTGTTTGTTTGTTTTTGGGTTTTGATGCTTTTATGTCTTGTTTTTTGAAGCATGCAAAATAATGCTTAGAAATTAATTTTAAACAGATGAGACACAACACAATACCTAATACCCAGATTATTATCTGTATAGTTGTATTCTGGAGCCGGCTGCTCTGTCAGAAGCAGACCAGTGACCACACACCATCTTGCATGGTTTCTATTGTGAGTCCCCCTGTGGTCCTTTCCAAGCACTAAATAAAGCATCAATATGGCAACTCTTTTGTGGAACATTTGATTAGCACCTTTTCTGGACTTTCCTCATACCCCAAAACTTCCTCTCTTGCCCTCTACTCATTCAGGCTCATCAGAAGCATCCACTGACGTAGCTTAGAGTCCATTCATAAATTAACCATAGTTACTGCAGCCACCAAATTTCCCCCTTGACCTTCAACTCCCACTCTCTTCCCCAGCACACAGTTCCATTTTTACTAATATTCAGAGTCTCTTACCAAAAAGTGACCTTTACTTTCACTCTCACCTAGCAGATCCAAAGAACAGTTTCACTTTGTGATAATCTCCTCCTGGTTAGTTCTACCTCAGATACGTTATTTTCCAGTACAGTTCTGGTTTTTCTCTTTAATAGAGTCTGAGCAGACGACTTGGAATAGCCGGCTAGGCTAGGCTGGAGTTCCAGAAGTCTGATAGATGAAAAGAAACAAAAAGCTCTCTGACGGAATAAAAACAAAACAAACAAACATGCCAAAAATCTGTGTAAGAAGGGATAGCCGGCGTGCCTGTTTGCTGGCAGTAATTCCCTGGTCGATAAATCAGTCATGCAGTGTCAGCCAGAGTTCTTTTTGAATTAGATTGTTCTGTCATAGGAGAAGGATGTTTTCTAATCAGTTCGTTGGTGGTTACCAAAAGCACCACGGGAACTGGAAGCCTGCTGGTCAGGGCTTGTGCGCTCAGGGATCTTTTTATGCGTCCAGAGATTGCCAGTGACTCTGCAGCTGCCAACTGCCAAAACTCTGTGTAAAGATGAAAAACACTGCTTAGAAGTGTGGAAAATCCCCTCAGCCTGACAAGTTCTAACTAGGTACAGTTTTGAGAAATTGGGTCTAAATAAAGACTGCTGAGGGCCCTCCTAATTCGTTTTTGAGAAATCTTGGACTGTGAAGAGTCCTGTTCTTAAAGAGTATGCAAAGGGAATCTGTCATTTTCGTAGTGTCTTCTCGGTAAAAATTCTTCTGTGGTGGTCCTAGGAACTGCTCTCAATGCTTGGTACTCTCAGGTGCGGATGGTGTCACCTGTTTGGGTGAGAATTGGCCAGAGGGAGCTCCTTTAGCATGTCTGTATCCATGTGGGGGCAGTAAAGGAACTGATTCAAAGTGGGCTCTGTGAGTCGACATAGCAACAGAAGAGCTGCCAAATGCCACCCCAATGTGGCCAGGGAAGGGCTCTGCCTCTGACTGTCGTTTCTGAGAGGGGACACAGCCGCCAGAGAACCACTAGCCCGTGGAGTGCTGTTGCCTGATTGAGAAACACAAGCTCCTTCTTCTGGGTGTATGCAGCCCTCCGCAGAGCTGTTGGTGTGGCAAAGTGGGGAATGGTGACATTCCAGCCCTCCCCGCCTCCGATGCCAGGTGCTCTCACACAGCACCCAGAACAACCGCACCCTGTCAGTTCCCGTGACAAGTTACCTGCTCCGAAATCGCCCCAAAAAGATCAAGCTCCCTAAGCTTCCTTTCTTATTGAGGGTATTAAAGGGAAGCTTCCCCTTTGAGCGTTGTGAATTTGGGTTTACGTGATCTCTTTTCTCTTCTCTGGAACATTCTTCTCTAGGCGTTGCAGCTTGGCACACACAGTCAGTTCCAGCTGAGTGTGGGAGAATTTGGGAGATAAAAATCAGTTCAGTTATAAGTTTAATCTCACATCTCTCAGCTCGTCAGGGCTGAAATATTTAATCAATGGTTACCAGCTGCCACTTCTCTGATCCATTGACCCCTAGCTCATGACCAGGACATATGGGGGTCCGTGTTTCCCGGCCCATTGACCTCTGCCAGGCAGGAGCATCGCCAAGCTACAAGAGGAGGAACATTCTTTTCTTACAGGCTTCATGCTTGACTTCTTTTACTTTTAAAGAAAAATTGCTGTCAATAGCTGTTATATTTTATTATGCACTTGCTGGTTCCATGAGATTATGCCCCTCTCTCCATGCCCAGATGCATTTCCCAGCGTTCGTTTTCTCTGGAGTGTCTCTAGATTTTTCTTTTTCTGGTTGGTTTTTCAGCTTGAAACGTCTCTTTCTTCTCTCTCATCCCTGCACAGTGCTTTCACTTGGGCCTGCGTGTTGTCTCTCGGTTCTCTCAGCGTTTTTATATTGTTTGAGAGTTTCACCAAATCACCTCTTCAGTTATTTACAACTTTGCGTTGCCAGCCATCATTGGATCTGTGCCATTTTTTTTAAAGTTTTTTTTTTTTTTTTATGTATTTTTGAGAGAGAGATAGAGACAGCATGAGCAGGGGAGGGTCAGAGAGAGAGGGAGACACAGAATCTGAAGCAGGCTCCAGGCTCTGAGCTGGCTGTCAGCACAGAGCCGGGCGCGGGGCTCGAATCCACCAGCCGTGAGATCATGACCTGAGCCGAAATCGGATGCTTAACCGACTGAGCCACCCAGGCGCCCTGGATCTGTGCCCTTTTCAAGAGGGTTCTTTATAAGTTTTACATGTTAAAGATTGTAACTTTCTGAGGAACCTCCCTAATTCTTCATTTTTATTTAAAAAGATTTAAATACTTCAGAGCTATGTATTTTATGACATAAATTCTAGAGTCATAATGCAGACCATAGTCATTTTTGAGAGGACAGGTTGCTTTCAGAATGTATTCCCTGATTTTGTTAACATTCTCTTTGAACGTATTCAGGTTTTCCAAATAGATATACTAAAATTGTAATTATTTTAAAGCAATTAATCTTCTTGATCAGTACTTGGCCCTCGCCGGATCATCTTCTGAGCTATGTTTATTAATGACCCTGACAGCAAATTCACTAATAACTGTGTTTGGGGGCCAGATAATCATTGTTGTTTTTAAGAATGTGAGCTCCACAATAGCAGGGATTATCTTTTTCTTTTTTGTTCATTGATAAAATGTGCCAGCCATCGAGAAGAGCATCTGGCACATAGTAGGTGTTCAATAATTATCTGCTGAAAATCTGAGTGAGAAAAATCCAGTCTTTTTTTTTTTTTTGCTTTTTTTGCTTTTTTGCTTCTGTAGAGCTGTGAGGATGATTTCATAAGCAAATAATCTGTTTTTGGGTTTTTTTCCCTCTATATGCAATTCCTTATAATGAAAGTCGTGTACTACTTTTCGGTCTATTTCCATAAGCTTGTGTAACTTTCCTGTGGTTTATTGCTTTTGCTTTAGCATTTTAGTTTGAAAAGCCTTTAAAAATGTCTTTGCCATTGTTTACTTTTTCTTTCTTGTAATTAAAAAAAAAAACCAACAAAATGAAGTCTTTCTTAGCCCAATTCCTGAGAAACCAAATATTTATACTGACCCAGAAATGTCTATTATCTATACCCTTTAGTTCTCTAGAATCTTTTTTTTAAACATGACAAAACATTTTTATTGCAACTCAATTTTTAAAATTGCTTTTGCTTACCTACAATCTTAGTGAAGTTTTCAAACGTGTGTTTATTCAGTGAAGCACGATTTGTCCTTACAGAAAGTTTTCTTTCTACAGCTTAAATTACTTTCATATTAGTGGATCTATATCATGAAATTCCACTGCTCACAAGTGAAGTCTTTGCCTTTCTTATATGGTTCTTCTTATTAATTAAAATAATATTAGCAGTCCTCATTTCTCTTTCATGATAGTTAACATTTTTTGGGAAGGATTCCTAAATTTGCCCTCAAATTCCTTCAGAATCTTTGGATGAATCCGAATTTTTTGTTTATGTGTAGCTTTATAGCTAGACTTAGAATAGACCCTACACGTGCTTGAGCTTGGACTTACATGTTGAGAAACACCCAAAATTTTTAACAGGAAAGGTGAAAATCAAGTTCTTAACTCTGAACATCCATTTGTTTGTTTGTTTGTTTTTTCCTTTGGCTTTTCTTTTAGTTCCAGTTAGTTCACATACAGTGTTATATTAGTTTTTGGTGTGGAATTCAACAATTCCATGCATCAGCTTTTACATTGCACTGATAGTCCCATTGCTTTCTAACTGGTTTTTGCCTATCTTTGGTGTACTTTGTTATTCATTTGGCTCTTTCTTTTCTTACTGTCTTTTTTTTTTAATGATACTTGTTGAAGGAAGACAAGCCAACAAACAAACAAACACTGCTTTTTAAAAAGATCTACCTCTACCAGTAGATCACTGTGTCACTGTGATCTACTCTAATGCTTCACCTTTGTCAGTCTACACATAATCCCTGCTCAGTGGAACGCAGTGCTCACCTTGGGCAAATGATTTCATCTCCATGAACCTCAGTTTCTTCAACTATAAGACAAGGGATTCAGTTCCAACCTCAGGAGAGATGTCTGTGGATTGAATGAGATAAAGCATATACAATGTTCAGTGCGTACTGGGCTCAATAAATGCTGCCATCTCTATGACTAGCCTGGCCAGGAGGACTTTAAGTTTGTCATATTTCAACAAACATCCCTGAGTGAGGGTGAATGTCTTCTTTAACTGAACGCTATTGTTTACCACTCATCCTGTCATCACTTATAAAAACTATCACCTCATTCACTTCTTGGTCCCTGTTTTTATTACAAAATGCTACCTAGCCTTTGAAAAATTTTCCTTTTTCCATTGGATTTCTGAAATACCAGTTATATGTGAGATTCACTCCTACTGCCATGTATTCCAAACTACCCAGTTTTAGTAATTCCTTTTCTAGTCTTTGTATAGTTGCATTTATACAAATACTGGAGTTGCTTTAATATCAATCTTGTAAAGATATATGAAAAACAAAAACTAATCTTATACCAAATAATAGAATTATTTTTCTTTGCTGGTTTCTCACGTAATTCATGACCCTTGATAATTCCGATCTGAATTCAATGGTATGATATTTTGTAAAAACAAAAAGAAGTCAGTGTTTCTTTCCATTTCATCTACAAATAAATAATCCATTCTCTATACTCTGAAATGAATAGACAAGTTCCATATAATTTCATTTTTATAACTTTTGCAACTAAAAGTAATACTGTGATAAAAACTGATTTTAACCTCTGTGTTGTTCTCTGCTGTCAAAGGTCATATACTTGTGTGGAAAAAAAGGTAATTAATGAAAAGGGAAAAAAAAACATTTTATGTACCTTTCTTTCTTTTCAAAACTCATCTAAAAAGATGAGGACAGTCTTGGTTTATTTCTAAGGTTAATGGGCCATACACAAAGGAGTCTTAAAGAAATATTCATTGAATTAAAAGAGAAAAAAGTCTCTGTGAGACTTTTGTTTTTTCTATTGTGCATGGATTTTAACACTAACCCACCTTTCCAAAAGTAGACCTCTACTATATGAGAAGTTCAACAGAGCCAATGTGTTTATTCTGAGTCCACAGGAAGGTGAATGACAGCCATTACAGAGCAAAGGTGAAGACATTCAAAATGTGGGGGGAAGGGGGGTTGTTTTTTTATTTTGTGTTTTTTCTTACTTAGACTTTAAATATCATGGTGAAAATAGCTCATTTGTTTTTCTGGAATGGTTAGAACAGACCCTCAAAGTAATTTGATTCATACAAATGCTCTTCCTCCACATTATTTTAGAAAAATGAAACAAAACAGTTAATCATCTTTGTTTTGTTCTGCATTAATCTCACAAAT